AGAAAGCAAAAGGCGTTTGCGGTTGTGACAAAGGAAGTTCAATTTGTGTCGATGTTGATGTCTGCGTTGCAAATCGTTAATCACACGCCATTCTTTGTGTTAAAGAAAGTTGACGATTTGGTTGTTGTGGCTTCGCTTCATAATGCGCGGCGCGGATGTATTATCATTCAGGATGAGTACGTTGATGGGATCCAATATTTTGACGTGGACGTGGTAGTTGTATTTCGTTCGAGAGCTGGAGAAGATGTAAGGAATGTTGTTGGTGCAGTGGATGTGATATATGTTGGTGAGTCCAATGTTAAAAATCCGGTTGTGATGTCACTGGAAAAAATGGAAAGAAAGGTTGACAAGTACATTCGAACGGTTTACCAACAATTTAAAACAGAAAAGTGTCTTCCCGTTGATGAAGACAAGATGTTGGAAAGCATATTGGACAAATTGAGAGAGAAGCCAAACATCGAGGTTGAGAACAAAACAACTTTAGTGAAAGAAAACACACAACTTACAACACAAAACGCGGCGCAAATAGTCTTAAGTCGACCCTCAAGCACATTATTATCACAGCCAAACGTCAAAGTCAAACAAGAAGGTATACAACAACTTTCAATACAAACACTCAACAAGTTGCCGTTTAACGACGGTCCAACACTGTTGCCAAAACTCAATGTAAATCGCCCAATTAACATTTCAATACCAAACACACCATCTCCGTCTGAACTTGTGGTGAACCCATCGAACTCACTTTGGGACGACGAGATCAAAACAGTCGAAAAGCAAATTTCCAACCAGATCGACCACATTAAACGATCGGAGAAAAGCGAAGTTGCAACAGCAATCAAGAGGTTCAAGGAAAAAGAGTACCTGAAAGAATTTGTGAATACGTACAAAGCAAAAGACGTTGTACCCGAGTCTCCTCGCATATTAGAGAATCCTACGCTGCTTTTCGAATATGTTCCTTCGTATTATGAGCGCTGCACTGAGTTGAAAAAACTCGAAGTTCCACCGCAAGAAGTCTACGAACAGCAGACTCTGTATTTAAATCCGTCGTACCTTCACTTGGCCCACGTCGATTATCAAAAGCGATGTTCGGACGTGATTCAAAAGAAAACTTTCAAAGGGTCGCACCAAGTGCCATCCCATACAACCCCAAATATTTTGAACTTCCCGAAGGTTGATGGACCACTCACTGGTATGGGTGTTGGGAGGCGTGCAGCTCCTGGACCAATGTTTATGCGACAGTTTGGGTACCAAGCACCTATTCCGCAACAAATGCAACCAGCCATGAACCAACCAATTCAAGCCGGATTACCCATGCACTTAACAGCTGGAATGCCCAACACAATTGTGAATGGGATGCCAAATGCTATCCCTGGTGGAATGCCTAATGGGATGCCAGGTGTCCGTTTACAGGGAGGAATGACAATAAACAACCCGTTGACGGGCGGAATCATACAACCCGGACAACCGAATATGCGAAATGTCGCGCCAATGTACATGTTACAGAGAGCACCCTTTCCCATTGTTGGTTCTGTACAACAAACACAAATTGGAATGACAACTTTCAACCCAAATGGGCAACCAAACATGGTTCGAATGGGTCCTTTTCCAAACGGACAAATGCCGAACATGCCACCCAATTTTCAAAGAAAGCCGTAATGTGTTAATTGAGTTTCTTTGTTGTTATTAATTTAATATGACGCTAAATAAGACGTAAACAAAAAAAAATCAAACAAGACAAATAAATGATTATAAACATGATGTACATATCATACACAATTAAAAATCATAAACGAAAAAAGAGTCCTGATAGACAGGGCTGCCGTTTACGTCTGTGTTCTTCTCCAACAACTGATCAAGGTTGTCGTGAGTGGGCTCCTCAAAGGAGTCTTCTATTTCCATGTCTCGTAATTCAAGTGAGGGCGAGTGGACTCTTTGTGGGTTGACCGTGTCGATTTGGTCATAGAAAGGAGACATTGCGAAATCATCATAGGAACTCACCGAAGAGTCGATATCGCTGGGGTGACACAATCGAGTCGAGAGTGGTTTGACGGCAATAAGGCACGCCATTGTGATTGAGTATATAAAATTACTAGATTTTTCTCTCTTATGTGGCATTTCATTCCATCACACAATCTCATCTATTCTTAGACGAGTATCGTTTTTCTTGACATTTTTGCCCATTTTCCACATTTTGATGAGTTTTCGGGTGTTGACAAACAACTTGCGCTCAAACTAAAACTCATGCATGGACTGGACTTTGGTAGAAATTGCATCGACAACAGGTCTTTACAAAAGCTCAAGACGGTTTTTGAAAAACAAGCATTGTTTTTTCTATTGAAAAACAAAACTCTTTTTATTTTCTTGATGTTTGCTTGGACTTAACTCGACTCTTTTTTGAAACTATCGTCAACACAAAATGACAAGTGTCTTATAAATAAATAATTAACATGTTAATAGTTTAATAGTATTATTATTATCAACTAAAGGTTTCTCTATTTTTAAACAAAACTCATTTCTTCTGTCAATCCCGTTTCTAATTCCGATTTTTTGTAAGTTTTTGTTTGTTATTGTTCGGCATAAAATGCTGAAAAAGGGTGGGTTTTTTCTATTGACTTGATAATAAAAAGAACCATTTGAAGTTATTAATTAGAAAAACCACTACCAATTGTTTTGTATTTTTACGAAGACTTTAGAATAGAAATTATATCAGAACACAAATTGGAGACTTTAATAAATTTGTGTTCAAGCCTGTAATCTTGTTTTAATAAAAACAAATGAGAGTACTTGTAATTGGTAGTATTATTAATAGAACATGTATTAGATATTCTTATATTAATACCCACACATATAGTTCTTGTGCAATTAATTAATTAATGACATCAACTAAATTACACCTCTCCATGTGTCTCGAGTTCAAACTGACGACATTCCACTTTTAACCCCACGATATACGACCACTTCTATATATTTTTTATACAAAGAAACGTATGTATATTCCCCTAGTTGTCATTCAAAAGAACGCAAAGCATACAGTCAATAACAAGAGTCTCTCACAACCACTTTGATATTTTAGTCACTCTTTCCCTCACAAACGCGATTTGTGCATCGATATCTGTGATGTTTAAATACAGCACAAGAACATATTGAATAAGTCGATGTTGAATATACTCCGATTCCAATCCAAACCCCAAGTCACAAATCTTTTTTAAAATGAGTATATCGCACGCAAAGCTCCACTTCTCTTGGATTGGCCTCCTCTCCCATACACTTCTTTCCACCTCTCCTATTTCAACCTTTTTCAGAAATCGTCTCGCCTTATCAAGGAAAATGATTTGTTCGAACATCCCATTGTCTCCTCCACTCACACTTTCTCGCATGAATTTGTCGACAACACAGTTCTGCAATGCCGCTTTATCAATGGTATTCATCCACTCCCCCTTCCAGTCTCTCACACTTGATCCAAAGGTGACCATATAATTCAATGTGTTTGCGCTCAATAAGTTGATTGTCTCCGTATCCAATATCGTTGCTTCATTCTTAAGAATTCTTCTAACTCGCATGTACATGGTTTCATCTTTAAAATTCGAAGGTGCTACGGGCGATGAATTCTGTTTCTTTGTTCGCAAATATGGCACGTGTCCCAAACTTGGCTCTTCCTCCGTCGCAGACTGTTCCGTTCGTTTGCTGTCCATTCGAACCCGCTTTCTCTGTTTCTTCGGCCGTTCTTTAGTTTCTGGTCCATGGAGACTAGTGATTTCTTTTCGTTGTTTTTGTAAATCTGCAAAAGTCCGTGGGGCTTTCAGTTTGTCGGAGATCATTTTAGAAAAGACTGTATTTGTGTGTTGGAAACTTTGTGCCTTACTTTTCGGTATATCGTAATTTGGTAAAGGAGGGAGTGTCATATCGCTTTGTAGTTTTGGTGGTAAAGAAAATTTTGTTTGGTTTTGGAGAGGTGGAGTATTCATAGGGAATGGTGGAGGGGTAAAATTGCCTTGTATTTGTAATGTTTGTTGTTTTGGTACTTTGATTGACCCAATAGAGTTGACAACACTAATAGGTGGGGGTTGAATCCTTAATTTTTTTGTGATAGTATAAGACATTTGAGAAAGTTCTGGGAGGCGTAAAGGCGTTGTATTCAGTTGTTCTAACATTACTTTCCTTTGTTGTTCTTTAGCAAAATACGTGTCATTCATTTCTTGGACAACAACGTCATAGAAACTATTTGAGACACGTGACATCACAGAATACAGTGAATTCTTTGTTCAATCTGGAAAAGATGAACAAAACAGGTGGGGTTCTTGAAAGAACAAAAAGAAAAAACACCGTCTCGCACAAAGTCTTCAATTTTCTTTGAATCGAAGACAAGAATTAAGGAAACCCTACTTCCTCTAAAACAAAAAAGCGAACAAAAATTTGATTTCCAAATCGCATCAATAAAAGTTATTTCTTCCCAGTTTTCTTCCCGACTTTCTTGGTGGCTTTCTTGTCAGCAGTCTTCTTCTCGACTTTTGGCTTAGCGGATCCTGGTTTGTTCTGAGTGAACACCTTTTCGGTATCAGCGAAGGAAACGACCTTAACGCCATGAGCCTTCAACAAAGTATATCTCTTCAAGATAGCGTTGTATCTCTTTTTCTCGGCGCTCATGAGTCTTCTGTGTTCGGCCTTTAATCTCAACATCCTAGCCTTTCTTTGAATTCTTTGTGGTGTAACGAGTCTTTGGATCTTTGGAGCCTTTGATCTGATTTTACTCTTTCCTTCCTTTGGATGCTTTTTGACGACATCTCTTCGAATGACAAACTTTCTGACATCTTCCTCTTTCGACAAGTTGAAAAGCTTTCTGATGTTCGAAGCTCTCTTTGGTCCAAATCTGAGTGGGAGTGGGTTATTGGTAACTCCGTCTAATTCGGCGTCTCCTTTCTTAATAAGAACAGTGTTGACTACAGCAATGTCTTGAGCAATGATGTCACCTCTGACAGTCTTTCTCTTTCTATCACCTTTACGAAGGGGCTTGTAGCATCCAGTAGTTCCGTCCAAAAGAAGTCGAACTCTATTGTTAGTCGCAACACCAGTCATCATTGGGAATCCGTCCTTGTCAGACCCACCAGTGACCTTCAAGATGTATCCCTTGAACTCATCGCCTAACCCTGAAGCGTCAACCTCTTGTCCAATTCTCTTGTCGAGGAACCCTCTGAATTGTTTCTCTTCTTCAAAGTCAAATTTCTTGACACGTCCAGTGACTGGATTCGCAATGTTGATCTATTCGTTATTCAATTCATGCACTATAAGACACCGTGGGACTCACAAACCTTCATCGACGCGACAAATTTTCAGGTCTTTTCAGAGATCAAAAGGGTTTCTTCTTTAATTCTTTTGTTAATTCTTTTACTATTCTTTCTAGTTTCCCCTCTTTTTACTTACTAACTTGATTTCATACTTTTTTAATGGCGTATCTTTCAGACTACCCTGTATAAACCAATTCTGTTTTATATGTCACTTTCTTCATGTCTGTGCAAACCAATTTTGATAGCTTCAAAGACCATGTTAATTGAAATAAAAATTTGAAGGGAACAATAAGTTATAGTAAATTAATAGTAAAAATATCTAGAGTACTACAGAAAGAGGGCACCGAACTGAATAACCCAGTCTCGAGGATGGCCGCGAAGAAATCCGATGTCATGCGTAAGATTCAGATTGAGAAGCTTGTCTTGAACATTTCCGTAGGAGAATCCGGCGATAGATTGACCAGAGCCGCCAAGGTCCTTGAGACCCTGACTGGGCAAACCCCAGTCCTCTCAGAGGCACGTTACACAGTTAGAGCCTTCTCCATTCGTAGAAACGACCAGATCGCTTGCCATGTGACAGTCAGAGGCTCCAAAGCAGTTGAGATTCTTGAGAAAGGACTTAAAGTCAAGGAATTCGAGTTGAAGAACTGCAACTTCTCAGACACCGGAAACTTCGGCTTTGGTATTGAAGAACACATCGATTTGGGTTTGAAATATGACCCACAAGTTGGTATTTATGGTATGGACTTTTACGTCGTCCTCGCTCGTCCAGGTTTCAGAGTCGCCAGAAGAAAAAGAGGACAAAACAGAATCGGAAAGGATCACCTCTTGAGAAAGGATGACGCTATCAACTGGTTCAAGGAAACTTATGAAGGTATCGTGCTTAACAAGTAAGTCGTTGATCGTTTTAGTTTTTTTTACTATTCATTCTAGTTTCATTTTTTTCTTGGTAAAAAGTAAAGACTTTTTTTCTTGAAATATTTGAAGCGTTTTAATGCAAAATATCGGGAAATGAAGTCAACAAAGTAACCCTTTTTTCTTTTAATTTTCTATTTTCTTTTATTTTTTTTATTACTTGATTTGCACTTCCAAAAGTCCCGTTGTATTAGGGAAAAATGTGGGACCCCAAAAGAATAAGAAAATAACTATTTGTATAGTAAAATAAACTAGTAATGACATTAAAGGGGATAACCCTACGAGTTTGAACTGAGAACACTTTGAGAATGGGCAGAGGAGTTGCTGTTGGTTTAAAAAAGGGATTCCCGGTTCACCGATTGAGCAAACCAAGAGAAATTAGCAGACCAATTTCAAAGACCAAAATGCTTGTTGAGGACGTGACTCGTGAAGCCGCCGGTTTTTCCCCATACGAGAGACACATGATGGACCTCTTGAGAAGAGGACTCGATAAGAAGGCACTCAAATACGCAAAGAAGCAACTCGGAACTCACAAGAGAGGTCTTGCCAAAAGAGAAGAACTCTCAAGAGTCCTTGAAGCCATGAGAGTTGCCCATGCTCACCACACTGAAGCTGCTAAATGAGTGGTTCTATTTTATTGTCGATTTTCTTACTTTTTTTAGTCCTCACCTCTCATCTTTTTTCTTTAAGATTTATTTCTTGCTCATTGGAGATCGAACGGAACTCGTTTTGCAGTCAAAGGCGATACCAAATGAACTCAAAACACGTCATGAACACACTCAACGCACTGGATGAGTCGTTCTTTTATAAAGGAATTCTGTACATGACTCGGCGCATATCACAAGAGATATCACTCCAATTTTTCAACGGAAAGGAATTTGCTATTTCATCGAGTGGAGTTTGTAATCACACTCTCTACATTCAAAAACCAGAGAATGGAAAGTCAATCAAATTTTATATCAAACAAGGTAAAGACGTCTACGAATTCCTCAATGTGTGTGAAGTGAACAACTCAAAGTGGAGGGTGGTGACTGACACAACAGAGCGACGAGTCTTTCGGAGTGTAGCTCTTGAAGGGTATGTCGTAAAATTCATCTCCGTGTGTTGACTTCAAAATAATTATAATCAATTCCTCAAAACAATACAATTCATTTACTACTCTCTGAAGAGTCTTTCTTTTCTTTCTTGTCCTTTTTTTCTTTCTTCTCCTTCTTCGTGTCTTTTTTCCTTTTAAATCTATTCATTAATAGTTCTTTCTTCTCTTGATTAGGATGAGTGGAGAGTACTAGTATATTATAGTTTTATATCTATTTATAAATTAATTATTAAAGAAAAACAAACAACTGTAATCCACCCTTTTTCACATCTTCAATCTTTTTCCCTTCACATGAGTTTCATTAGTTGATAAAGAATAATATTATTATTATTTATATTATTAAAACACAAACCAGAAAAGACTTGAGACCCAACAAAGAAAGTCCGAGTCGCATAATATGACTCAAATGATGTTTTCATGTATCTTTCAGAACCCAATATCGACCCAATAGGTAGATCGTGATCTAATTGACTTTGCAAATTCTCATTTTCATTTTGAATTTCCTCGAGCTTCTTTTGGAGCACCCCAAGTTGTTCTTCCAGTTGTACAATTTCGTCCTTTTTTCGTGTGTTAACGATGATGGCTTGACTCATTTGCATGTTATAGTCTTCGTTGAAGACGTTTATCGAGTCCAACAAACTTCTGAACATGTGATAGTCATCAAACATATAAGGTTTTCCTCCAACGATTTTGAGGAGATCGTCTCCTATTCTTCTCGGTAAAAAGTCGAGTATTTGCAGCATATTATCTTTAATGATCGACGTGAAGTTTTGGAAGTCTGTGACTCGTTGTGACGCCTTTTCTTTTTCTTTCATTTCCTTCTTTAGTGATTCTTCCGTTGTTTCCGGTTTCGAGAGAATGACTTCCTTCTGTGATTTGTCGAGTTGGACGCTTAACAAGTACTTCAACACATCGCCGGCGGGGTCCGGATTTTTGAGTAATGGCATGATGTCAAACATGATGTTATTGTTCGATTGGCAATCGCTCGAATGCAACTTCTCAAGCATTTCTCTGAAGTAATTGAGTTTGTATCTCTTTTGGACCGTTTCACTTTGTGAGAGGCCGGGCATTAAAGTCTCCGGGTTATTAATCACAACAGACAACGTGTATGTGTAAAAGAGTTCTCGAAACACTCGTTTCACGACGTCTCGTTTATTAATTCTGTGTGACCGTAATATGGAATTTATTGATTGAATAAACTGTGCGAAGTGCGACGGAATGAGTTGAGTATTTTGGACTAAGCATTCAGTTGTATGCGACAGCACTTCAACTATGAATGTTTGTGATTTCGTGTACTCTTCTTTCGTCAGCGCCGTTTCGTTTTCAAGTAACACAAATGACAAATTCCCCGGCACACTAAGTCTTCTCGAGTCTTGTTTTAATATCATTTCCATTGTAGGTTTCAGTGAGAGTCGTAAATAGTCCATCAAAAAGACTTGTGTGTATTTGTCGTACAATTTGAGAAAGAGGGAATTCTTAGTAAAAAACGATGTGAAGGTATCTGTCCCTCTATTTCAGTTTATTTCAATTGAATTGGCAAGTTATATTTATATTAATTTAAACATATTTATTAGTATGTAAAAAAGTTGAGTCGTTTTAATACACAAGTATATAATAATATGATTAAAAGAAAGCAAACCTCTGCTGTTGACTTCTTTCTCAAAAGCCCACGTTAATAACGAATTCAATTTGTTGTTATCGTAGTAATACCTCAACATCGCCTCAGAATTGAATGCTGCTTCTTCGCTTGGCGCTCGTAATATGAGTGTTTGTGTCAATGCTTCAATAACGACGTTATCTCCCGAGAAAAGTAAGTTATTGAAGTACTCAACGTGATTTGGTTCGCTCGGTGGAATTGGTGATAACTTAATGAGTTGTGTACGAGGTGACTTTGCAAGTGGTGCTGCTCTTCTTTTCGGTGTTTTTAATGATGGCACTTGTTTCTCACTAATCACAATAGACTTGAGTTGGAGGGGTTTGTACTCGGGACGTGCCATTTCAGTTTACAGATTTAATCCTATCGTTTTTGATTTTTTGTCAAGGCAAGTAATCAACTTTATTGATTTTTTTCAATATAATTTAAATAACATTCACTTTGTTATTAAAATGTTATTAAAATGTTATTTATTATGTTACTTGGAGAAGTTAAATCAACTCAATGATATTGAAAACTACAAAAAGCAAAGAATACATGTCAGAGACAAATGCGTGGTCCGAAAAATATCGACCAAAAAAGTTGGATGAAGTGAAAGGGCAAGAAGAAGTCATTAAATTACTGAAATCATCATTAACAAGTGGTCTTCCTAATTTACTCTTTTTTGGACCACCAGGGAGTGGGAAGACGACGTCAATACTTGCACTGTCAAGAGAACTCTTTGGCAACTGTTTTAAGGACAGAGTGTTAGAACTGAATGCATCGAATGAGAGAGGGATAGACATGATTCGAACAACATTGAAGAATTATGCAATGCAAGATGTCTCACACCAAGATGGTATACCGGACTACAAATTGATCATATTGGACGAATCGGATGCGTTAACACCAGACGCACAAACGGCGTTAAGACGAATGATGGAGGACTTCACTCGTAACACCCGATTCTGTTTGATATGCAACTATATCAGTCGTATTCTCCCACCAATTTCATCAAGATGCATTAAGTTCAGGTTCAACGCACTCCCACAAGAAACAGTGTTCGAGCACCTCACGTCTATCTGTGAGAAAGAGAAGTTCGACGTAACGCCTGAGGCCATTAAAGCTGTTGGGAAACTGAGTGAAGGTGATATGAGGTATGCAATCGGATTATTACAAAAATTGTCACAAGGCGTTCGACACAGTGTTACACCACAAGACATTTCTAATGTCGCTGGTGTTGTGCCAAATCTCGAAATATCTCAAATAATCTTAATTTGTAAAGAAAAGACCGTCTTTGATATTTACTTGAAGGTGTTACATCTTGTCGTCGAGGAGAATTATGCCGCAGACTCGATACTCTCACAAATTAGAGACATCTTCACACAAGATACAAACGGACTCACAGAAACCCAAAGATGTAACTTCTTACTGGAAATTGCTGACACCGACGCTGCACTCATCGACAGAGCCGATCCGTTATTCGCTATATCTTCACTCCTCGGGACACTCTTCAAATATTATCATAAACTTGCTTGAATGTCTTGTTTGTTTTTGGACAAATCCTATAAAAATGATAGAAATACTACATAGAAATGGAAATATTTTTTTCAAAGAAAAAAGAACTAAAAAATGGAATGAGCCTGCTCGAAAACGACGCGTTTCTTGAAGAGCTCACGAAATTGTATAAACTTTCGAAGACAAAGAAAAGCGGGAGCGTGTGGGTAACGTTCAAGCAGTGTTTGTTTTTTTCATACAAGTTTCATATGAAGACCGACACATAGACAAACCAAAAAAAAGCAAAAAAGATGCTGAGCAGGAGGAGAAGCCATCCGAGCAGGTTCTTCTTCGTGCAACAAACGGGAGCAAAAAGATATCAACCATCGTCAAGAAAAAGGAGGTTGGCAAGTTCAATCAAAAGCTCCGTGATGTGATGGGCAGTGAGTTCAATTTAAAGCGTGACCATTGATTAATTTTTTAGGATTTCAATTCGTTCATTCCACCATCCAACCTTTCATTCACTCAAAAGTTGTAAATATTATAATTTAACTATATAAATTAGTACAGTATTTCCAATTCGTCACCAAAACAATCTAATTGAATAACCATTGATTGTACTAAATTTATCTATTAAATATAGTACAATGAAATCACTACAAAATCCAAATCAATCAAAATTGTTGGGCCTACTTCTGTGCAAGTACGCCGTCGAGCTTCTTCCTAATAACGTTGGCTTTTTTGATCTTCTCCATTAAGCTTTGGTACATCTCTGAAAGGTCCGGGAAAGTCGACAAGTCAACGTCTTTGTATCTTTCGAGATTGTTGGTAATTTCGTCGAGCTTTGTGTTGCACGACTTGAAGTATTCCTTGGGATCGATTTCGTCGAAGCGGCTCTTTTCCCAGGGTGCTTTATCTGCATTTTTAAGATGCCAGTACCCGATGATTCCGTGTTGAGTTTTGCTTGATAAAAAGTCTTGTGAATGGCTCAACGAGTCGAGTAGCGACTTTTTGCACTTTTCTGGGGTGTTTCTTTTCACTTTTGATGAGTTAAAAATATTATTATAATTGTTCTTACATTAATTAGTAAGATATAAATACAATTACTATAAAGAATAGGTACAAAGAATATTGTTGAGTTTTTGGGAATAGGAATAACTGGGAGATACAAAAGACCAAAACGAGAGTGATCAAAACAAACCGCAAGGGAAAGTAGAAAAGAACGTGTTGTGTGTTTGAAAGAACGGAACGATATGATTATTAAAAGAATAGTAAGTTAAAGAAGTTGGAGTTGGTGGAGTATCAAAAATAATTCCTTTTATAGAATTGTTCAAACAAAAGAGAATAGTTCGACAGACTGTGTTCCATGTCATCGTGTTCTTCTTAATAATAATATTTGTCGGGGAAGTACAAAGAGGACAAGGACATGATGGGCCCTTTGTAGCCTTCATGTATTTTGGAGTTTATTCTTTGTGTAGCTTTCAAAAGGAAGTAAGGCATTTTCGTTGTTTTTTGACGAAAAAAGCAAAATAGGAATAACTTATTCTTAAATAATCAAAGTACAAGATTTGGGGGTTACCAAAATAGCTAAAAATGACTTGAAAAAATTGTAAAGAAGTATTTTTAGGTGTTGTATAAGGAGTTTTTAGTTGTTTTTAAAATATGGAAAAAAATATCAAAGAAATTTCTTTATAAAAGTGCGAATTTGTGATGGGGTTTTTAAGTTCAAACATTTAATCGAAATGTATTATATCGGATTATTGTTGCATTTAGAGTCAAATTGAAATCACTTAAATTCTTGAAAAAGAAGATGTTATTTCCGATATAAATAATCAAAAAAATTATTTTATAATTTACTATTTTTATCAAAATAATAACACAATTGTTTAATTTATATTATTAATTATTAGTTCTATTGTTAATATTTTCTGACTCATTTTGACTAAGAAAATACATTATCAATATGACATTTAGTTTCTATTTATTTTTTTTTTGATTTTGAAAAATGAAAAAAATGTTAAAAATAATCTACATCTATCTACATATCTACATCTACATATATATGTTTGTCTAACGCATATATTTATTTATTTATTTATTTATTTATTTATTTATTTATTTATTTATTTATTTATTTATTTATTTCAGTTGTAAGTATACCTAGGGACCGATCGCTAAAATCACATATTTTTTAGTCATCAAAAATAAGAAAATTTTTTTGCCATTATTTTTTTTATTTCCAAGGTTTTGTTTCAAAAAGATAATTTTTTCTTAATTAGTGAACGTGGAGACATTATTTTAAGTTCAGCCTATTTTAATTTATTTAATTTAAAAGTGTTGTTTTTAAGTTCTTTTTAACATAAAAAAACAAAAAATCGAATTAAATTTTTAGTCTCAAAAAAATAAAAAATCAAAATTTAGTAAAAAAAAGAAGATTATTGTCATCGTAAAAAAATTTCAAATCAAAAATGGCCAAACTTTTTTAATGGTTAAATGAGTTTAGTGGCAGTAATAAAATTCATTTTAATAATTATAAAAAAATATAAAAATAATTATAAACATTATTTATAAAAAACAACAAACGATATTATTTATTTAATAAAGAGAAAGGACGGACATGGGGACGAAGGACGGGAATATAGGCCGAAGGACGTCCTTTGTGGTTTAGGGATGTCCTCCCGCTATAAAGGGCGTCCTTTATGTGTATATGGTGTCCTTTCTATTATTTTCGTGTCCGCGGCATTTTTAATAACTATATAATGAGTTATAATATTACTATGAATTTACTATTATAAAATATAATTATTTCCAAAAATAAATAAATTCAAAGACAAATGTTAAACAACAAGTAATTTCGTTATAATTTAATGGTTTTTATAAAATATGCAAATTTAATTAGTTTTTCAAAGAAAACTCAATGGTAAAATGAAAAAAAAATGATAAATTATTATAAACCATTAATTTATAACAAAATTACTTTTTAAATAGTTTTTGTCTTTGAATTAATTTATTTTTGGAAATAATTATATTTTTTGATTGTATATTTATAATAAAAATATACTTCGTTATATAGTTTGATAATGAATAAAAAATGCCGCGGACACGAAAATAATAGAAAGGACACCATATACACATAAAGGACGCCCTTTATAGCGGGAGGACATCCCTAAACCACAAAGGACGTCCTTCGGCCTATATTCCCGTCCTTCGTCCCCATGTCCGTCCTTTCTCTTAAGTTATTTGTTATATTATATAATATAAAAAATAAATAATTATAATTTAAAAATGAAAATGTTATTATTTTTATTAAAAACAAATACATTCACAAAATAAAATACTTATTAACTTGATATTTAAAATAAATATATATATATATATTAAAATATACTATTATCTAAACAAATAAAACATTTGTTTTTATAATTTATTTAAAAAATAAAAACTAAAATATGAAACTATTTAATATTTTTTGTGTTTGGATCTACAATTAATAATGATTCGTTCATTTATTTGGAATTACATGAAAATTGTATATTTGCCATGCCAAGAACACGCCGAGTGTCTTCCCGGTGAATACCGATCAAAGGGAGAACCCACATGTGTAGGTTGTTCCTTTTTTATAAAATGTTTTCTCTGTAACAAAATGTTAAATTATAACATGGTCACACAGTCTACTTCATCAGCAAAAAAATCATTTAATTAATTTACATTACGACAAATTAAAAGATGAAGAAAAAAGGAGAAAACTGTTTCCAAAAATGTCACAAAGAAATAAAGAGGTTAACATAATGTTGATGAGATTTTTTTCATCTGTTGGAATTCCTTTTAGTCAAATTCGAAATCCATTTTTAGTTGAGTTACTGAATTTTCTCGATAAGTCAGTTGTATTGTCAGACGAAAAAACATTTAGAACAACTTGTCTTTTTGAATTGTACGATAGAGAACTAGGAGATCTCAAAAAAAGAATTAAAGAAGATGTCGTTTTCAACAATCTATCAGGATCCATTTCAACAGATATCATGAGTAAATATAATAATTCTTATATAACAACAACTCTCCACTATATCGATAAACAATTTGAGTCACACAACGAAGTTTTGAATGTGAGTCCTTTTAATGTAGAACATACAGGAAAGGAAATTAAAACATATGTGAGTCAAATTGTTACCGATTTAAATTTGAATGTTAACAACATACATTTTGTTGCTGATTCGGCATCAAATAACAATAAATTGTCTGAAATTAATGGAAACAAAACTGACTGTGTTGTACACACATCGAATAATTTGTTTTCTGCTGTGATAAAACAAATACCCGGGATGAAAGCCTTCATGAAAAATATAAATTCTTTGGCCAAAACACTCCAATTTTCTCAAAAAACACAAAGAATATTTGAAGAGTTGTGTTCAAAAAATTGTGAAGAGCCTGGATGTCTTGCGACTTATACGAAAACGCGGTTTAATTCATGTTACCTTTCTTTTAGCAAATTGTTAAAAAGAGAGAAGAGTGTTAAAGAACTGAACAATGGGATTCAATTCAATGAAGAGGGGTGGAAAGGGGTCAAAGAAATGTATTCACTCACAAAAGCAATGGACGATCTTTACAACAAATTGGCGGCGAACCAAAAAATTACATCGTGTTATGTTGTGGGAGCTATTAGAGACATTTGGAACACAATTTCCTCTTCTATTTACCAACTGAAGGTTTTCTAAAAAATATATTAAAACATAGTGAAATAGATGAAGATTATGCAGAAGAATCGGGAAGTGGTTTTATGGAAATTGAAGCTGGGACTATTTTTGGAAAGGACTGGAAAATGATAGCTCGATCTGAATTTGAAAAAAGACTGCGCGCTTTTTCTCAAAAAGAAGAATATATTTTAGCAGCTTTCTTTTTTCCTATTACTCGTGATGGTGATTTGTTTGAAACACAAATCAATACCTGTGTTCAAAGAGTGAAGGCTGAATTGAGTGGCATAAATAATATAACACCACAAAGTAGTTCCGCTTTTTTAAATTCGAGTTCAAATTTTCATATTGAATTTGCCAATTGGGCAATTCCAATGATGACAACTGATGCAGTACAAAGACGAGAGGAATCACCAATTGATAAAGCAATTAGATTGTATTTAGAAGATCGTGGTGCGATAGAAAACGGAGAAAACTGTAAAAGTCCCGAAGAATATTGGCAAAACTGTATTAAACTAAACAAACACGCCGATTTATTTGATATTGCCAGGAAGTATCTCTCTTTTCAACCAACAAGCATAGACTCAGAAAGAGTTTTTCGAAATGTCGGTAAAATAGTCTATAATGAAACTTCGTCGTTTACCCCAGAAAACGCCTCGAAAGTGTCTTTTTTGAGACTACAGATAAACAAACAACACCAAAAATAAACAAATTAAATGGTTTGGAGTCAAGTATGGTTAATTATTCTTCATAGATCTCAATGGTTGTGACCTTAGTGAGATAAAACATTGGATGATCTCTTTGATGAGCACCAACTCAACACTATACACGAGAAACTCCAACATCAAAGACGCTGTTCGAACAGACTTTACTGTGTTATATTTTCTTTTTGTAGCACTTCCATAAACTGCGAATCCAATCGAATGGCATTTAAGACCGAAGGAAATTGCATTGACTTTCCAGTCGATGAATTCAAAGTGTAACAGAGTGTCAGTATGAAGTGTTCCAATCTGTTTTATAAGTGTTATTCATATGACCACATGCCGAATTCAACAATTGATATTGATGTTTTGGAGTTTTCTGGCTGCCAGAGTGGCATGGAGTTTGAGTCTCGAAAAACAAAGAAATGAATGACAACAACAAATGTGATAGATAACGAGGGATACAGAATCGAGTGTACTACAAGTTGTTCGACTTGTACAGCAAGAACAATAATCAACACACAAAATCATTTGAGTATAGGGCTCGTTTAGATTCAACATTGTCATATGAGAACCACAAATACTGTCAGAAGTACCAAATTGGTTTGGATGTATTGAATGTTTCAATTCAATCAACTTAAATGGTGTTTGTTCAATAGTTGAAACGAACACAAAAATGTTCTTTTTATTTAGATAGTTACAACACAATTAAATGTGAAAAATACCTTAAACGTTCACAAACAAAAACATATACAACTTTATGGAGTGATGATGTTAGACATGAAGCATTATTAAAAGGACTGTGTATAAAATGTTATTAAATACTTTTTGAACAAAGTATATCCACTAAAATGTGAGTTGTGTGGAGATAATTGTCTGACTTGCACAACACCAACTACGTGTTATATATTCTCAAATAGTTTTTCTCTTGTTAATGGAAGTTGTGTTTCACTATCAAATTGTTTGGTTTCAACGCCAAGTGGATGTACTATGTGTAATGAAGGGTATTATCTAATTCTCGGCTCATGCAAAATGTTAAGTGAAATCCACTACAAATCTGTTGTTATGATAACAAATATTTGAGGTGCAATGTATGTTATGTAAAGACAACTATATTTTAAGTGACACACAATGTGTTGACATGTCTACTGCGCGTTGCCAAAGTGTCGACTTATCAACTTCAAAATGTGCAATTTGTGAAGAATAGTTCAAATTTGATGACAAAAAATGTGTTTCAATGGAAACGACGCCATGCTCGTATACATCATCAGGCAATTGCCTTCGTTATGATTTACAAATCTCACTTAGAACTTCCAATGAGGGTGTATTGGTTTGCAATACAGAAGTGAAGACTGTGTACTGCAAAGAAAACAGCAATACAGTGTGAACCAAGTGTTATGACGGGTATTATCTAATTGGTACTGAATGTCTTCAATGTGACAAGAAGTGCTCAAATTGTGTTGGCAACGTTTCAACATGTGCAAAGTGTAACGTGAAAGGTGGGTATTACCAATATGTCGAATTTACAACAATAAAAGACAAGAAGTGTGTCATCAATACAACACTTGACAATTGTGAATGGGTTTCAGAATATGGGTGTGCTGTGTGTCTCGATGGGTATTATCAAAACAAATATTTAAAATGCCCAAAGTGTGTTAAATTGCGTGCGACTTGTTCAGACAATAACACGTGCTCTTTATGTATTAATCAATATGTTTTGATATCAAAATAGTTGCAATGTGTGAAATGGAATTCAATTGCAATAGTAAATCGTATGATCCAAAAACACAACAATGCAGTGAGCGCGGTGTAAGCAACAAAGTTGGACCAAATGGAGACGAGTGTGTTCACAAGACAAATGTACTCTCAATTATACTTCCAATCATTTTTTGTATTTTTATAGTTGTTATTATTATAAAAATAAGTTGTATACTTTTTTGTATTTATTACAGAAAAGAAGAGAAGTTAAGGAAGTCACTTGTAAACGAATTTTTGTTGAAAGATTTAAAAAAGAAAGAAGTTTATATCATATATATTGGCACTCAAAAACGCATTTTGAAGGCGAAATTGCAGTTCAGAAAGACGGTGAATGCAAATTTATGATTGGCAACGACAGAACGTCTTTATTGAAAATTCAATTCACAACACAAAATGACGAAGAAAAGTTTGAATTGAATGTTGAACCTTCCATACCAGTGAGTATCAAGAAAGGTCGTGCTGTTGAATTTACTGTTGCTGTCCATCCGCTGTGTACACTTTAAAAGACTGTTGACATCATTTGTTCAGTCTTAAACATCAACAAAGGCAAAATATCAGAGATAAAAATTCCAGTCAAATTTGCGTCAGAAATGTCGACAGCACTTGACCCGGACGAGTTAAAGAAAGAGCGAAAACTTGGAGAAGGAAGCTTTGGGATTGTGTTCAAAGGAACATATCGAGGAAATGTTGTCGCCATCAAAGAGATGAAGGAAATGGTTGTCGCCACTTAAAAAGCAAAAGGTTTTACAAAGAATTTGATTGTTGAAAGTTCAAGTCGAATTAACTGTGTCTAGCAACCAGGTAATAATACTATTATGTATTATAATTTTAATTATAAATTATAATTGACCTAATTCATATACGTTTTTTAACAAGAATTTAACTATTAATTATAATTAATAAAACAAGCTGTTTAAATTATTTTTACAATACATCACAACTCGTTCAAAATGTGTTTTATAAATTGGTTTAAAAACAATTATTTTGGTTTTTCTTTTTTGAAAATTTTGACATGTCTTTTTTTTCCTTAATGTTCGTAATAATTTTTTTGAGACAGTTTTGTGTTTTATATTTTAAACAAAGACATTATTAGGTTTTGTTTGTTTCTCTTCTTTAAATGAGCTCTTTTGGATTATTAACTATTTTTGAAACAAAAAGTAGCTACCCCTTTTTAAGTTTTTGAATCGGTTTTATCTTCGGTTTTTGGTTGTGAAAAAATTGGTGTCTGCATTCTGATAAAACCCAACCAAAATTCGGCAAAATAACCAAGTTGGTCATTCGGACCCTAGGTATAGTTGTAAGTTATTCTTGCGCTTCTTAATAGTATTTTATTAATAAGCAATATACTATAAATATAATTGTTTTTACTAATCTTAATAATAAAATGTGATGATTTTTCAATACGAACGATAGTTAATTTTTACTAACTATCGTTTTATTCAAGTTTAGTTCCTTAAGAAAAGATAAAATTTTAAATAAATTACCTCTTTTTTTGATGAATTAATTATTGTTTTAAATAGTAATTGTATAAACAGACAGACAAACAAATTTTTGAAATTAAAAAAAGAGGTTAAATAATAAAATAGTTAAAAATTAGAAAAAAGTATTTGTTATTTAAATGAGATTTAAAATACTAATAAGAAATAAAAAGGTATTAGAAGTAATGGTATTATAATGAAAACTTTTATATACTTTAATGTGTTATACGTTTAACATATATATCATATTTCGATAAGGTGTGATAAAAACATAAAAACATTAACAGTTGAAAATAATAGAGGTCTTGATAAATAATTAATAAAATATGTTAGACAGTATATCAAATCGATAATAAACAACAATTGTAGAACAAACACAAAAATTTTAGAAAGACAACACCAAAGATATAAAGAAGTTGTTGAATGTTATTTTTGCGTGCAGACTAAGATACCGAGTCTATAATACAAACGGATTGTGTTTGGTTTAACAAGCCAAACAATATATGATAAATGATTTTGTACAAAAAACACACATTACGTAAATTAGAATGAATGTTTAAAATAAGTTGATGTGTATATGTAATGTAAGTTACAAACATTTTATAAAAAAAGATATTTAAAAATGGATAAACAACACATGTCGGTGATAGATTGTAACATGTACATCAAGATAATAACAACTTTATATCAAATAATAGTTAATTTTTAATATTGACCAGTAATAAAGTTGTGTGAATAAACACCAGAACAACAAAAAAGTGTTAAATATTTAATTCATGTGTCATGTAAACAACTTTTTAAATACATATAATTTTTATTCATTGTGATGAGTGTCTCTATCTTATTATGTACTATCGAAAACATATTTTATCACCTGGTATTTAAAGTGAAAACTGTTATTATAATTATAATTTAAAAATAATAAAAGTTGATTCTTTTTTTAATAAAATGAAAAAAATTAAAAAGAGGAATGCGACGAAAAAGCATTTTTATTGATACAAATAACAAAGTTATGAATTAATATTTGGACTAAAATGATGTTGTTGACCCGATAATTATTATCGGGTTTTAAGTGCTTGTTATATATTATTTGTAAAAAAAATCAATTAAAATTTATTTTTTTTAACAAAATACAATTTTGTAATAAAAATATTAATTTAATTATAAAAAAATAAAAATAAAATTTTATTTATTTCATAATATTATATTATATAATTATACTATATTTAATTAAGTGACAAAATTCAAAATTTATAATATAAATACTAATTTTCTTATAAAAAATATAAATACACAATTTAATGGGACCTACATTGACCACCACCACCACCTCTTAAAATAGATTTATTTTTTCTATTTCGAATCATATTCAAATTAAAATTATAGTAAATAGGAAACTGGGATAATATTAGGTCTGGTTCCCGAATTCAAAAAATGCCGAAAATTCACCTCGAGTCAGTGGAAACCGAGTGAGACGGAGCATTGAAAAGAAGGCTCATAAAGACACACTCAAACAGTCTGTTTGTGCACCGTTTCACCCACTTTCCAAGTCCTCCCTTGGCGCGGATCCCCCCCTGACCCCCCCGCAAGCGGGGGGGAACCACATCCGCGTCCACACAGTACGGACAAGGAAAGTGGGTGACATGGGGACGCACAAACAGTGGCTGAAAAGTGGACTTCCTTCAAAAAACACTCGCGGCAAATATTTTTTTTTGGTAAAGGTGGTGGTGGTGGTGGTCAATGTAGGTCCCCAATTTAATATAAAAAGTCATTAGATTTTGATCAATTGTAATGACAAATCCCGAATTTTTACATAAATATAATGAATAAAATAATATTTTGATTATTTCAAAATACCTCAAAACAACAAATAATAATGAAAATTTTATAAAGTCATACAAAATAGTTTGAAATAACAATATAATAGTTGAATTTGAAATTAGTTTCAAATTATTAAAAACAAAATATTATTTAATATTAATAAAATACAAAAAAACTAACTTTTGTTTTAATCACTCGTCATTGCGAGGTTTGAATGAAGAACTAAACCCGAAACAGGAACTAAAAAAGAGAAGAGGGATACGTCAATAATTTTTGATGAAAAAACAAATGATCTATGAAGTTCAAATGGAAAGTAACTTTACACAAGAAACAGTTCCTCAACCAGTTGAGGAGAACATCACTGAGCCAATTCTTAATGAAGAATTAGTTAAAGAACAATCACAGCAAACGGTTGATGAAACTACTATAACAACTGAATTACATGATGTTGTTCACAATTTTGTTCAAGACACTCTAAAGACGGTTGTTACAACTGAAGAGACTTACGCACCAAAGACAGAAGTACTTTCTCTTAAAGAAGAATTAAAAGTACCCGAAGGAACAACTCAACAAGAAATAGTTGAGGAAGTTAAGCCATCGGATGTCATTGAAGTGAAAGAAGAAGTCAAAGTCGAAGAAAAGCCAATTGAAGACATTAAACAACAAGACGTTATTGAAGAATTGCCACCCGTAAAAGAAGAAGTCATTGAACAAAATGAACCAAGATTCCATTTACCTTCACCCGTCGCTCCGCAAAAGAAAGAATATCCCCCTCCCCTCTCCATCAACCCACTCTCTCTCCAACAAAATGTACAAAACAATAAAACTGAAGATCTCAAAGACCAAAAACAAGACGCAGAATCCGTCCCTTCAACATCACCTCCTCTCGACACACAAAATAAACAACAACAAAACTTCACACAAGTCCTCAGACCAATTGAAGTCCAAACTACACAACAACTCCAACAAAACATTCAGTACCAACAAGCACAAGAAGAACCACGCGTCCCATTTGTCCCTCCAGAAGTTACACAAGTCGAAGCTACAACCAATCCGTATGAACCTTTTAGCTCTCCACTTGTATGCGCTCCAGTCGAACAAAAACATGATAAAGATGGAAATGTGCTGGGATGGGAAGACGTTGAAATTGATCGCGATGAAATGGTTCAGTTAAACAAGATGTGGAAAGACTTGAAGAAAGACTTGACTAAAGATCAGCGCAAGATTATCAGCGCATATATCATGTATAAGGCTGACCATGTTGCGTACAAAAAGTTGAAGAAGTTCTTAAAGCAAGAAAAGCGCGAGCACGAGGAAGAAGATCGGAAGATGGAAAAAGTGAAGAAGACCGACAAACATGAAAGGAAGTATTACCAACAATCTTTCGACAAGAAGGACAAGAAGTGGGAGAAAAAAGAGATGAAACACTTCTGTAAGTGTAAACCACGAGAAATGCGATACCCATTGAATACTCATTACTCCCCATTGTTTATGAACCAACAAACACCTCAACCGATGTTCCAAACAATTCCAATCCCTCAACAACAAAGTCAACAAGTCCCACAACAATTATCACCACAACCTAATATCCCCCCACAACAAGAAGAAATTCGTAACGAAGTCGAACAAAGTCGAATTGACGACAACCAACAAGTCCCACAACAAGACATCACAAAGATCCAAAAAATCGATAGAACACCACTGCAACAACAACAAGTTCAACAACAAATGATGACACAATCGTTGCCTCCTAACTTCATATCTATGCCTTACGTTGTCCAACAACAAATCGACCCATTAAGAACACAACAAGTCTTCCAACCATACATCCAACAACCAATTATCCAACAACCATTCGTACAACAACCTTACATTCAACAACCGTTCTTGCAACAACAATATATCCAACCACAACTACAGCAGGTACAACAACCATTTGTGTTGCAAGGAATGCCATTTCCACAGACAATGAACTACTCATAACCATTCATTTTTTAAAATTCTAGTTTCGTTTTGACGTTTTTACATCCATTATTATAAAATAGTATTAAATTACTTTAAATTATAATTCATTGTTTGAGACAATAAAAGAACTATTTTATAATTAAAAACTCAAATTTTAAAGGAATAATAAACTCAAGAATGTTGTCAAAACAAGAAATCATAAAATGAAATGACGAGATTGAAAAAGGCAGAACGAAGGCACACTTGGGCGGAAAAAAATATCAAACAAACATGGCCACCAAAGAAGAGAAGAAGGAGATGAATCATCTCAAAGAACTTGAGTACGCAGACAAGAAACTCGAGTACAAGAACATGAAGAACACTGTGAAGTACCTTAAAAAGAAAATCAACGTGATTGAGAAGGACACCAACCTTGCCGACAGAAAGGAGGAGATCACTGAAGAACTCCACGGGAAAGAGACTGAACTCACTCAGTTGAAGTCGGAGTATAAACAGAAGAAGTCCGAGAGAGCCGGGTTTATCCACAGAATCATCTAAGAACTCATCAAGAAGTTACTCTGGGTTTTAACAAATTCTCATTATTTTTAATTTTGTTGTGGACTCAAGCAAACACAAGAAAATTCTCAATTTAAAAAAATAGAAATCACTACGTGTACATTCATTGGTTGAGCATATCAAATACGGGTTTGCTTTTGAAAAAATGCCAAAAGATTCCTAGAACCGTGTGATTCACAAAGCAAAGCGCGCTGACAACAAGTTCGAGTATTCCAAGTGATAGATATAAATTGCTGTTGCAACTAATATTTTTGACAGCGCTGTCGTAGTGCAAAGTTGGCACTATTTCTTTGCAAAAACTGTCAATTGATTTCCAATGTATAATGTCATAGACCCCAAATGAGAGCAAAATTGATGCAAAGAGCATTGAAAACAAAACCATTTTAATTGACGAAGGTCTTGGAAACATGACGAAAATAAAGTCTGCGATAACGAGTACAGTGTTAAAAAGCCAACCCAGTGTGAGAACAAAGACCTGGTAATGGAGGTATGGGGCGCACCAAAATTTGTATGTTTTTGAGTCTGTTATAAGTTTGAGAGAAAAGGGGACGTACTGCGCAAATGGAATTGACTGACAAGTTCCGCTTGGTTGGAGTTTATTATCCTCTTCGAATAAAAGCTGTTTATAAGTGGAGTCTGTTTCTACGATGAACAAAGGAAGCACACATAAAGACAAACAGTCTTTCCTTCTATAAGGTCTTTGTCGAGACAGAAGAGGAACTGGTAAAAGAACACAAATATAGAAAGGACTAACACAACGATTGTAGTCGACGAAAGAACACCAATTGCCACCCTCATTTTCGTGTTACCTGTTTTAGGCATGATTGAATGAATTGCTATAGAAAAGGTAATATTAATTATTTGTTATGATTATAATATTATAATAATTATAATTATATATTTTTGTTATAAAGAATAAAGACATATTATTCCTTCATATTTTGTATAAAAAAGGGAATAAATATTTGTTTTGAAAAACAGTTTTACCTTTACACAATTAATTAAATAATATAGTAAAATTTGTAAATTTTGATAGTTAATTAATTCTCCTTTACTATTTTAAACCCATTTTTTGTAAATATAAAAAAAATGAAAAATGAGTTTGTCTTTAAATTAAAAATTAGAAAAAATAATTAAAGATATAACTTAAAAAACAAATGTCAGATTGATATTTTTTATTTTCTAATAATATTTTTTAATATTTTTTTCAATTAGTATAGTTTGTCAATGAACAATATCTGGTAACTTTTTGACTATTCTTAAATAAGACATTTTGGTAGACAATCCCATTCATTATTTTTATTCTTTTTCAGTTTTACATAATGCCCATTTTGTTAGATTAAAAATAAAACCATTTTCAGTAAATATTACAAAAAT